GAGGAGGATGCTCATCCCTGAGTAAGAGCCTCATCACTGCACCCACCACTTCACATCGGCCTCGGACCCCTCAAAAATCCCCACAGACAATGTGATGAACTGCTTTAAAACCAACTCTTGCTATCATTAGAGTGCCCTTGCACTCACGGCAAGTGGATTAAAACCTTCTTGCTCTGAGGGTAGGTATTTCTTAGGAGGAATGGCACAGGGGCAAGCCCAGGGCATTACTGCTCTTCTGCTTAAAGAAATGGGAGAGTGCTTTAGGTTTCAGGGGTCCGGTTTCTGTATAGAGGAAACAGCAGAGTATTATCCATTTCTGAGAGGTAAGGCTGAAAGGTGGAACATATACGAGTGATCTGTAATTCCCCAGTTGTTACTCATCTAAATGCTCTTGGTCTGCAGAGCTTGTGAAATAAGAAGGAGGCTTTTGTGAGCCAGTGACAGGACAACGCTAGAAGGTGGCAAATCTATCAGCCTTTCCCAGTGTTCTTATTTACAGTATTTCCAAACAAATGTATACGATCCAGGGCCCAGTTATTAGCACAGAAAGCCTCTTGCCAACCTCTTTTGCTCAACAAAATTACTTCCCTCTAGATTTTCGAGTAGCTTTATGATCCATAAATTATATACGGAACCCAGGAGGAATACACAAAGCTCCTTCAATTATTAATAACTAAATGCAATGTCATTCATGATCGTGCAGCAAGCCAGCTGCATTTACTCTGTGATGGTTTCCCACTGCAGGGGTTGTCATTAGAGGATGCCAAATGCTTAAAAGAAGAAATCATCCATACTAAACTAGTTGTAAGGTGAATTTATAACCAACTCCTTAAGATCAGTCATTACAAGGAAGCATGTGATGCATTGTAAGTGACAGATTCTTCATTTTTAGGGTAAATTTACATTTAAAGATGTTAAAAATTACCATAAATTAGCATAAAATTAAAGTTACTTGGTTTTACTAGGCAGCTGATAGTCGGAGCAATGTGGCTCAATAAAAATCACATGCTGCTGATTTTCCATTAAAAAAACAGCAACAAATTCTTGCTCCAAGGAAACAAACACAGGACAGAATAAGTGGGAGCTCAAATGGGGTTCTTACCAACCAGGTTATTGTGAAGAAGCTTCTAAGAGGTGGGATTTAAATCAGGATGCCCCTTTTCATGATACCAGATCTACTCCTGTTAGGTTGTGCTGAGAGACCATCGAGAAAAGGGAAGGTACAGTCCCATGGAGCAGAGCACCCGTGTGCCAAAAAGACACCCCTGCTGTGCCCTGCTCCCGAGTCTCCAGTGTTTGCTTTCACACAGAGGGGCTATAATTTGGATCCAAAAGCTCTGCCCGTGGGACTTGCTCCAGATCCCAACCCTCCCCAAAAAAGCCTAAAACGAGGATGAAAGGCCCAGGGATTACACAGCCATGTCCCAGGGGAAGGGGTGAGCATCCCACATGGAGTGACTGAATAGGGATGATGGGAAAGGAAACAGGAGTCTGCAGAAAGGTTCAAAAAGAAAGAACTTAAAAAGGATGGGATGACAGGAAACACCAACACACTTCAGAGGAAAGACATCTAATGTGGAACTGGATAGCACTGGCATCTCAGAAAAACCTTTGGTTTGCACTTACATTTTGAAAGATTTCCAACCAGTTCTGCTTGGGGAAATAAAAAGGAAAAGAAAGCAGGTCAAGGAGAGAATTAGCAAAGGGTATCTGCAGAAATGAAAATGTTACACAGGCAGCGTGGTTCAGGATATTCACAAGATCGAGAGACACGTACCCTGAAAGTAAATGAATCTGATTTGTATCTTGAAACACAACAGCTCAAACATAAGATATGAAGAATTACTGGTAATTGGTATTAGTAGATTAATAAGAGCTGAATAGACTAATACATAAACCATTCACGTTCCACACGCGTTTCTGAGACATCCTAAAGCTTTGTACTGCTCTTACACAGTCACATACTCAGACATGAATCTGTGATCTACCCAGCTCAATCCAGAGCAGTGGACAAACTCTCCTGGTTTCTGGGGACGCATTTTGGGCAGCTGAATCGATTTCTGCTCACAGGTCTGACTGTAACTCTGTTACTGAAACCACAATAGGGTTGCTCTGATGTTTGGATTCTTTTTAAATTACAGAAGGGAAGACAAGGCCTTTAAGAATTCTGTGCTTACTGTAACAGTGAGGGGAAATTTCATTTAAGTAATACCTTATTCTTTGCCCATGCTTTTGTTCAGGACTTTATTTCAAGATTTCCAGAACCTGTTCTATTTTAACGTGTTTTAAAGCAGCGACTTGCCCTTTCAGTCAAGTCCATGGGATGGACAAGTCCATGGGATGGTCTCTAGAGATGGTCAAGTCCATGGGATGGTCTCTAGAGGTCTCTAGGGGTAGTCAAGTCCATGGGATGGTCTCTAGAGCTTCTCATCCCACTGACAGGGACTCTTCTATTTCCCTGAGGGATCTTAACTGTAGTTACACAGGTAAAGGTACCACGCACAGACTCTTCTTAAAACAGATTCTTCTTACTCCTGCACTGCAGAGGTGAGTCTGGACTTTGGCAGCCCTGCCTCCATTCCCATGGCTAATGGAGAGGATTTCTGACACCAAGTCCTCAGGAGCCCGATGGGACTCGAGCAGCTGGAGCTCAGGTCAGTCAGGAAATGATGTCCGCAGCAGTGTTAGTGCCTTTGCCTTCCAAAGGGGGCTTCCTCAGCAGCACCCAAAGGTAAATTTCAGTTATTTCACCAAGGGCAGATAACACCTTCCTTACGTTTCTTTATTGGCTTTAAGAAAAGAGAAGTGATCGCATTCTGTTTGCAAAATGGCAAAAAGTATTGCTGGAAAATACCCCTGTATTCCACCCCAGAGACAGGTATATGCCTTTGACGAACAAAGCAAACCTATGAGGAGTTGAAATATCACCAAATCTATCTCCAGTCCTTCTGGATGACAGACACAGTATACCCATAGATGTCAGTTCTGGTGTGTAACTGGAAACTCCCAGTTAAAAGACACAGAGAAAGCAGGAAGAGGAATGCAACGTAATGGGGATGATTTGGGGTTTGTTCAACTTGGTAATTAAGAACATTAAGAACTACAAAAGGAACGACCTACAGGTTCCTTGACCTAACCCAAAACAATCACTGACAGCTAATTCAAGTGTATAATTTTACTTGTGCTTTGGCATCCATGCTGCACATGTTCCTTATGTTTGGTTTATTTAACCACTGCTTGAATGGCTGCTTCAAGGGAGGGAAAAATCAGCAAAAATAAAGCCAGCATGAGAAACAGAGTCACTCTGATGAAAGCCAGGCCTGAGGAATAATCTAGTAATTGCCATATAAAGTGAAAATAAAAATAAGTAACGACCTTCCATCCTCAGACAAAGTCAGACATAAAACTCATTCTGGTCAAACCCCAGTGGTCAGGAGCTGCACAAGGAACTGTGGCATTAATAGTGGAAGAACAGCTACTTTAAAATCTGCTCATGATGGATAAGGTTTGTTAGTGTTATGTTTTGGGGTGTTTTGTTGGTTTTTGGTTGTTTTGGCTTGTTGGGTTTGTTTTTTCCAAAATAAAAGAAGAGCAGTAGCTGTGCAGTGCGGATGCATTTGCTTTCCCTAGGAGGAAGGAACATTTTGTCTTAGAGACCTGAATGGATTTATTTTTGGTTTTTACTTGTTCCCTAGGATGCAATCCCTAGGATGTCTTTGCAATTTACTGATAGTTGTGAAATTCCTCGACAAGTTAAAAACGCTTGGTGAAAAAGGAGAACTGAAAACCCCTCCTCTACAAGTAATTCAACCTATCCGCAAGGCATAAGTGGCACATAAAGAAGTTCTGCCTGAGTTTTCAACTAGCCTGAAACAACAGCTTGGATTCACTCGGGGGAAATTTTACCTGAGGGGGTTTTCCTTTGGCCTTCCCATCAGAGCTGGCCACCGAACAGACCATTAAGCCCTGGCCAGGACCAACAGCACCTTCATCCGGCCCAAATAATGGGGAAGCACGGCCTACAGAGTACAAACTACAGTGGAGACCAGGGCTTCATAAAACCTGGATTTCCCAAGAGCCCATCCGAATGCTTCTGGGGCCTCTGCAGCAGTGAATATTTGGGGCAGAGGAAAAGAAAACAGGCCTAATACATTACCAGGGATATTCTGTAAAACATCCTTTGCAGAATAAGCTGGGCCAAATCAGAAGGCCTAGGCCGCACAGCTGGTGAGATTCTCTGTGGAGGGACAGGCCCAGCAGATCTAACCGCGCTGCAGCAGGACGTGGGCACAGACACAAACCACTCGTGTGCTATGGACAACCGCAGAAAATCACGACCGTCGTGGTGCGGGCTGCCTGCTGAGTGCACCAGACCTGCAGTCCAAACAGCTCTAGTACGGCCTCAGCTTCCAAGCTCGTGCTCTTCCAAAGGGCTGGGGTAACTGGCAGCACCTGACCCATGTGGATGGTGGTTGTATGTGACAGAGCTTCCTGCAACTCACACGCTGGCAAATGCGCTGCCCGCTTTGGTAGAGACTGTGCCTGCTAGCACAGACACAAAAGTCCTCCTAAGTCAGTATTTAAAAGGTGTTTTCCAATGGATGTACATAGTGAGAGCAAGAGCTCACCTTCAAAGCACAACCAACTCCTTGCCACATGTAAGGCACTCACTGGCTTTGCTTGCTTTCATTTAATACCCTTATTTTCCTTTCTGCATATCCAGACTATCGCTGCATTTGCTTTTAGATTATCTCAGGGAAGCGTACGGGGATATGGTCTGCCAAAAATTCCTATGACGGATCTCATGTTAAAGACACGCTACACGCTGTGCGGCTCTGAAGCGTTATTTTCCCCTGCTGTCTTCGGGAGGGTCTTAGACTTGTCAGGCACAACATGGAAAATACGGATGGTAAACAAGCTAAAAGTGGTGTGAATGAAGTAAATAAAGAGCTACTGTCAAAACACATCCAATTATGCTCTGCTGTGGAGATTTAACACCACAGGATGATTTTCCAAGTAAAAATAGCGTGGGATGCCTTTTCCATTTGCAGAGCAGTTTGGAACGGAAGGCCTATTTGTGCAATTGAAGCCAAATGCACTACAGCATAATGATGCTCTCCTCAACTGCTATTTCCAATTCATGGAAAGTGGTGGATTTGTTGTGTTGGTTAAATACTTTCCAGTGGGGTTTTTTAATCCAAATTACTTAATTCAATCATACTTTATTTTATATATAAAAATGAAGCAATTACATGCAATTACATGGGAACAGCAACACACCGACACCTTGTGCAAGAACCAAATACACCAATGCATGCAGTCTCACTGCTGAAGAGCAGCACAGGGAACTCTCCAGCTGATGGGAACTAACACATCAGAAACCACAGATTTCAGCTTCCTAGCCCAGCGCTGTGGTTCTGGCCTCCTTCCTGAATCACAGACAAAACACACCACCTCACTGTAACTGCAAATCTAACCCAAGACCAGGCTCCTTGGTTTACTCTGCCTTGGCACTAACGGCAGTCTGCACAACAGGACCACTCACTGCAAGTTATTCACATGTGGTCTGGGGGCAATGAAACCAAAGATCATTGAGATATTGAGGAAATAAACATGAAATGAAATAAACTGCTCAGACAGCAAGGAAGTGCCAACAGAAGAGCAGCACCTTATGGAAGAACCTGTAACTTCTACACATAGTAAGCAAAGAAAATCAGCTAAGAGGTTTAACTTATTATGCAAGGATCACCTAACAAGAAAACAGCAGAGGTCCCCTATATGAATGTCGAAACCCACCTTTTTAGGTGGTTTTAGGCCTTTAATTTAGAGCACCAAAGGAAGGATTTTCTAAAGAAAATACACGCTTGAGTAAGAGCTTCTTGGCAAGAAGCTGCCTGGTTGCTCAATCCATAGGAAGATGCACATCATTTCTGCAGATAACTCCAACAGGAGACTGCACCCCTTCCACAGCTGCTCCGCTGACCCCTCCTGGGGAGGGCTGGATGAGCAGACCAGGCTTCCTGCGCCTGGACAGGTCTGAACCATCCCCTGCAGCCTGACGGGAGCATCTCCTCTGTGCAGGAACGGCAGCTCCTTGTGAGCAGGGCTCCTGCCCTGAACTGCAGCAGAAGAAGGCTGCCTGGACGCTGTGTACCTTCCCTCTGCTGCACAGGAAGAAGCTGTTCCTGTGAGGTGCTGTGAAAGCTCGACGTGACAGGTCCTATTTAGCCCTCTGTATCTGAGAAGGGTAAGCAGCAAGAAACGGGGCATCATTCTGACAGTAACTGGTAACAGGAGCATCCAGTTCTGAGAGCACCAGATGATGTTCTAGGAGGCACTGTGCATCCAGACTGACCTTCTTCCTATAGAAACTCTGAATCTGATTACCCTGGAGAGAAACAGGACAGAAGTGCCTGCTCTGCTCTGCTGCAGAGTCCCTGAACTTCCCAAAAGCCTTCAGAGCCTCTTCTCCCGCCTCCTGCCTCCTTTTCAAGCCTTAGTAGGGGGATACCAGAGGAGCCCTTAAATACGAGCAGACATCATGCAGACCAGAAATGTATTCATAGCAAGCTATTTCTAATACTGCCTAAGGCTGGAAAAGAGAACAAAAAGAATTAGAAATGTCTGCATTAACTAATTATAAATGCTTTTCTCTGAGACAGAGAAAAAGAACAGAAGGACGGGAGGGGTAAACCCCCTAATTTCCCAAATCTACATTAGCAGGTAGCTGGTAAAGATCCTGTTGCACCTGCTGGGAAAAAACCATGAGAAGTAGTCCTCAGAAAACACCTAAAATTTCACTACATACAGCCTTACAGCACAGCAGTTTGAGGATGTCTGCACAGAAGGAAGCTTTGAAGAGGCCTGGAAGGAAAAGCACTGTTGTCTCCTCCTTGAGTCAACCCTGGTTGTGAAGCAAGGTCTAAGCAGGAAATTCAGATGAACTCCAGAGAGACCATTCAGACCCCTGTGTCCCCCACTGAGCTCGGACACCTCATCAAGAGGATGCATAATTAACGACCCAGCAGCCCTGCGATCCCCGCTGGAGCAGAACACCAGACCTGGTGAGGCTCCTGAGGACAGGGACCTCCGCTGCGGGCAAGGCCAGGCTGCGCTGCGGCGACGGAGAGCAGCTCTGAGGGCGACCCTCAGGGTGCAAATGTGAACACAGCCGAGACAGCTGCACATCCGAAAATACGGCTTTGAGTCCAATTAGTGTCCTTCCCTCTACACATTTCAAGCACTGAGAGTGGATGAATGTCATAGGTTCTCTCTCTCTCTCCACTTACTGGGTGGAACGACTGCACCCAAAGGGCTGGACACTGATTCTGAAAAGGATAAAATAAAGAGCAAATGGGGAAAAATCCCAAGTAAATAATAATGGAGAAAGTCGCTATCAAGACACTTCACTTCACTGCCTTGCAGCCCTTTACTGAGATCAGAGGCTGCAATTGGAGCAGCCCAGCGAAGCAGGGTCAGCGCTGATTATGAAAGCCCACCCCAAAATCCAACCGCCTTCTGCAGACACCGAGAGCTGGGAAACAGGAGGGCACTGGCAGCACTTGACCAAATTCATCTGTGTTTGACCGAAAACGGAGCTGCACCCACGGCAAACTGTTCTTCAGCAGTAAACCTGCACTGCTCGGAGCACAGCACTGACCCACAGCTCTGGCTGCCATCCCTGGGTGTCTCTTACTGCCCTGCCTGCTGAAGAGTGAAACAGCTTCCAACAACACTTTACCCTTCAACGTCTCGGTATAACCTTGACATGGAAACTGTAGTGAAAAAACTGCCTCACAAAGACCCAAACTAATAACAAACTGACAGCTACGTGTTCGGAGATCTGTCGGAATTTGCTTTAATGTTATTGATATTCTTCTCACTGCTATTTAATCCAGGAAAAGGTCTTTAGGAAAAGGGAGGGAGGAGCAGGAAAAAGCACTTGCACTCAGAAAAACAGGTCACTGTAGGAGGTTCTCACCACAAACTGCCTGCAATTTGCTGGTGGAAATAAAACTGCTTTTTATGAACCAGTGTGAGACAGACAGATACACCATGAATATCTTGTGCAGAATGACAGTCAAGAATGTCAGGTGGCAGAGATTTATTTCATTTAGAACCTCAGAAGGATTAGCAAGCAGCAAAGCATCAGTTGACCAGAGTGTATGTGTACTGTTACATTCTCTGTTAAATAAAGATGCTGCGAAAGATGAGCTGCTCTTACCTTACTGCAACAGCCATGCTTCCGATAGGGTTCATTGGCAACGGCCTGGCTCCAGGAAATATTCCTCTACTCAGAACTCGAGCTCCATTTTGTATCACTCCCGGAGGAACTGAAATATAAAAATAAGAGAAGAACATTTTTTCTTTTACAGGAAAAGTTAGAAAAATATAGGAGCAAAATGTGGAACTTAAGCTTTTCAGTGACTTGAGAAAACATTCGGAGAACTCGTGGGGTGCACTGCTTACCTCCAACATCTCAGCCTCAACTCTTGTGAATGCCGTGCTATTGCCAACGCTATTCTCATGGCAAGAAATTTAACAGCACCCAATGGCAGCATGGGCTGTGGAAGCCGCTGCCTGACCTTGTTGCTGCAGATCATTCCCTGCACAACCAAATCGCTTTTGTTTTGTAATCGCTGTTCTGCTGGGAACGCGTGTGCCGAGTCCAACCCAGCCACGAGCATCTGCAGTGAGAAACCACGGCCCTTTACAGACAAACATAAGCACTGCACTGCAAGAACACAGGTCACAGCTTTTTATCACCCCAGCTTAATTTCTGAGCAGCAATCCCTTGGCCTGTCTCCTGAAAAGTAAAATATTAACTACGAGTCTGGATTCACCAGGAAGG